ATCTCATCCTCTCATTTTCTAGAGTTCATACAGTTGGATTTCAATCTTAAAAATGTACCGTATGATAATGAATGTGTTATGGTTAGATATTGAAATAGTTCAAAAGTAACAAACAAAGTTGAACACTAGATTGAAAAATCGTTGTTTCCCTCAATACAGATTTAAGTTGAAAATAAACATAACTCTAGATTAATTTTCAACTAAAGTATGAATGTGACGTACACATGTAACAACCAATTGCACTAGTCAAACTTTAGAATAACTGGTAAAATAAAAAGAAAAGTACGAAAGAAAAAAGAAGATATTGACAAGAGAGATGGGAGTGCATGAGAGAGAAGAAGATTGGCAGAAGGTAACAACAGTGTGAAAGTTAACGAGGAGCTTTGAATCTCCTTCCAAATGGAAATCACCTAGGTATAATATCTCTTCAATCTATGCCAGCACCATAGTTTATTCATAGTTAGCCAAGTACACCAGCAATATGCAGGATGAATGTATGGAAATTGGTAGCGATATATAGGTTTGTTGTAAAATGATTCCTGCAAATAGAGATAATGAAACATGTAGTTAGTTAACTCTTAACCAAATTACGATAATCGAATTAAAATATAGAAATTGCAAGAAAACCACTTTCCTATCAAGAACTATGCTCAGAATCAAAGATGAAATAATGGGGCTTAGATTCACCAACCCAAATTCACAAGGTAAATCCACACTCGATTGGACAATGAACCCTACTCCAACCATGAAGTAAACGTCCATAGAACACACCAAGGCACAAAAAGAGGAAGTTGGGGTTGCACAGCGGGTAATAGACGTAGGCTATAGGAGGTAGAAGGCACAGTCACGAAGAGGGCAGAGAGCCAAAGAAACCGTGGAAGAAATCCTTCAGCCAAAGAGCCAAAGGAAGCAGCTGTGTGTTTGTATGTAATGACTTATATAAGTGGAATTAGGGTGGGTAAATAATGGGCCAAGTAAATAAGTGTATCGAGCCCCTATTGTCCCAAATTATAACATGTGAGATTCTTGGTCCATCTTGGTTCCTTGGACCATCAATTGTAACCTTAAGTCAATTGATGTATAGTATTCAATAACAGGCTTCGAACGAAGCCTAAGAACTTAATTTGACCCGATTTATCATCATCGCCCCGGGTTTGTATTTGGTATCAAGTACCTAACAAACCTCTACTTTGATGTCAAATACACCTGCAAAATGAGAAAACAAGTGTAATAGTCATACAATGTGATTTCAAACAAAATTAAAATGTCACACATCTTTATCGATATTTAGAAGTGTAAGACAGTTTTTGAACTTTACCAGGATAACACTTTACTGCTCATATCTATATGGTGATAATCTAAATTTACCTTCTATTTTGCTTATCATTTAATAGCATAGAAATTATTCAAAAGATGGGATTCTATTTAATTTTTACCCTAATCCATCAATTGGTGGCTAGAATCTCTAGTTCCTGTCATGTTTATTGATAATAATATGGTCTGCAGAACTTTGCGGATAACGAAAAGAACATATACTAAAAATATTTATTAATTATAAGAATGAGCTAGTACAAATAATTTATATCCAAGCACTATTAATTAGTATTACTAATCTGAATTTATTTCCAAACCCATGAAAAACCACCGGATACCATCGAAACTCTATCTTCCATTGATTAAATTGTTAATAAATCCCCAAAACAAAGTCTGTTTCTCAATATTGTACGTATATTTTTCAAATATACTGCTGAGTGTATGATTTGGTAGAAATTTTTAAAGATGCTTCTGGAATCCTTGTTGATCATTACTTGAATCTTTCGAGACCAAGAGTGATAAAGAAATTGTCCTATGTTCTAGAGTTCCAAGAAAAAATATTCTAGAAAAGTAGAAACAGTATCAAAATGCCGATATAACATATAGTCATCTGAGACTCAATGTCTGTCTATTGTTTGCTTTCCATTATTGTGCACGAACAAGGATAAGACTAATTTTTTTGTAAATGAATCCCTGCAATCCACCAGTCCCATGGCAATAAAGCTGACAGTTCAAGCAAAGGTGTGGGTGTAGAGAACAACACAATTAAAAATGAGATTTGAATCTCCTTCGAAATGAAAATCCCCTTGGTTTAATTTCTTTTGTACCAGGCCTCAGAGATCATACATAGTTAAGAAATGAGAACATTGGCAATTTTAGAGTCCCAATTTACAAATCAATAGCTATATAGTATAAAATTTAACGATAACAGGATTCAAATTTTTATAGTGCGAAGAACATGAAATGAACATGATTTAGTATTGGTTAAGTATTTAATTTTGTACAATTCTATTCAATTTTTTTTATGTATTCCAACCTTGGTGGCTAGCATCTATAGTTTTTGCTTTGTAGATTAATAGATTTTAATATTTGCGGAATTTTGTGGACACTGAAAGCA